CCAGGTTTTTTTTGTTTTTTGTTTTTTTTTTTTGCCACAGCATAGTGATCTCCCTCATTTGTAAGAACTAGATTATGTATATGATATTCTTTTTTTTTTCTTTTTATTCTTTCTCTCTTTTTTCAGGTCCAAGATTGGTACTCCAACATAGTACCTGCCCCTTTTACTCATTGGCTAGTGCTCTACCAACTGAGCCATGCTTCCACCCCTCTTCTGAAGTTTTTTTAATAACTGATTTTAAACACAAAAGTACAAGAATGGAATGAATAAGACAAAAATTATACTTAATTTCCCCATTAACACTAAGTCATATGTTCAAAATATGTTTCAAAATAATTAGCCAGATCACTAATCCTAGTCACTACTATAGTTCAAATGATCTTAAGAAAGTAGTTGAGCCACAGAAATCCCTTGTGAGACAACTTCTAGAGAAAGCAGCTATATTGCTATGTATGATTTATTAACTTTGAAGTTTAGCCTCTCAGTATGTAGCGTTTGCCTAAAATTACTATTTGCATTGGTTCATAGTAACACTAATAAAAATGCAAAATTTATAAATCAATACTTCCTTTACTGTGAATATAAGACATCATAAATGTTTGTTGTAGGTTGTAATAGTCATGAGGATGGTTTCTAGGATGATACAGTTCAAAACCAAAAAGATGATAGGCTTAGAAAGACTTAGAATATACATCTATTCACACTACCACTACACTACTAGTTCATTTATATATCTAAATATGTGTATGTTGAACTCAGGGCTAGGCATTATTCCTGACATTTTTTTTCTCAAGGCAAGTACTCTACTACTGGAGCCTCAGCTCCACTTTCAACTTTTTGTCAGTTAACTGGAGATATGAGTCTCATAGACTTTCCTGCCCAGGCTGGTCTTAAACCATGATCCTCAAATCTTAGCCTTCTAAGTAGCTAGGATTACAGGCATGAGCCAACCAGCACTAGGCTAGGTCCTATACTTTTATATACAACTTGCTTGTCTCAGCCTGCACAATAAATTATTCACTCAACTTGGAGAAACAAAATGAATGTATCTTTAATCATCATTTCAAAATAATTTTTAAAAGACAAAGAAGTTCCCATGTTTGTTAAATCTGGTTAGGAGATGGCTTTTTAAATATTTTCTGAACTACAAGTATAATTTTTCACCCTTTCTTAGTGCCTCATTATAACCAATTTGGCAAGAAGACCTCCAGTACTTTAAGAAAACCTTCAACAGATAAATTGAAGATAAATCTGCACTAGAACTCTTCTATGACTGACTAATGATTAAGTCCACACATGTATGACCATTCATCAGCAAATGACCTCACATGTACATATAATTCAAACGAACTTTTAGAACATGAGCATAAAATAAATACTACAATATTTTCACCTCTATTTAATGCTGCTGGTAATTAGATAAAAAGATTCACAGTACTGAGTCAGACTATATTCATTATGTCTTAAAGTAGTTAGAACAATTTCTGAAGTCAAAGGTAAGCAAGAGCCAATGCTAATACAGTTTTCCAATCATGTAATGTAATTGCTAGTCTGAATTATAATTGCTAAGCAATTAATACAAATATAAATATGTATAAGGTACTACTGTATCATAGTCTGGTGAATAAACTTCTTGGCTAAAGTACTCTGGGGAAAGGATTAAGAAAAACAAGAAGGAATGGGCACTAGTGGCTTACACCTCTAGCTACTGAGATCTGAAGATTGTGGTTAAAAGCCAGTCAGGGCAGGAAAGTTTGTGAGACTCTTATCTCTAATTAACTACCAAAAAAAGCTGGAAGAAGAGCAATGGCTCAAGGATAAATTGCTAGCCTTGAGCAAATAAACTCAGAGACAGCACCCAGGCCCTGAGTTCAAGCCCCAGGAGTGACATCAAAAAGAGAAAGAGAGAGAGAAAGAGAGGGGGGAGAGAGAGAGAGAGGAAAAGAGAGAAGGAGTGAATATGGCAGGTTCTAGTATTTTCCATTTAAGAACACAACACATGACATGCAAAAAAAACCAAGATATAATATAGATATGATTGATATGCCTAAAATGATACATATACTGTACATAAATTCATGTTAATTATGCACTTAGCACATTCTTTTTTCTTTTCTTTTTTTCCCCTTCCCTTTTCTCTCTTTCGTTCTTTCTTTTGTTGTTGTTGGTGGTGGTGGTAGTGTGGTTGTAGAGCTTAAACTCAGGGTTTGGGCACTATCCCCTAGCTTTTTTCACTCAAGGCTAGCACCCTACTACTTTGAGCCACAGTTCCACTTCCACTTTTTGGTGGTTAATTGGAGATAAGAGTCTCACGAACTTTCCTGCCTGGGCTGACTTTGAACCATGATCCTCAGATCTCAGCCTCCCAAATAGCTAGAATTACAGGTGTGAGCCACTGGCTCCAGGAAGCAATTCTTCTATATGATTCCTTTCATGCTTCACTTTGCTTAATAACTAAACTCTGAAATTCCTCTTTTAAAATTGGTCCAACCAAGTTATCCTTGGACGTCCAATTTTATTTCATCACAAACTAAGTAAACTGATGGGGTAAAATGTTTATTTTTTTTCTTATCATCAAATATCTGCTGGTGATGTAATAAACATGTGGAAAATATTCTGTGAATCCTACAACATACTGATCCTCATTTTACTGATTCTTTCAAGCTAATCCTTCTGGAAAATTATTTACGGCTATTCAGGGCATGCAGCTCCATCAAGTCTACAGCTCCTGTAGTCCATAGTCCAACATGATTTGGTAGTCTCACGAACTGCACAAAGAAAAATCTACTGCCCAGTGGCTGCCATTTAAGTACCGGCATTTGAATGGCATTCACTCTGAAGTTAGACACATTTAGTCAAAGGCAGAATATGGATACTTCCCTACCTTGACTTTGGCCTTTGGGTGATTCAAGAATTTTGTCAGCCGGGCACCAGTAGCTCACGCTTGTAATCCTAGCTACTCAGGAGCCTGAGGTCTGAGGATCAAAGTTCAAAGCCAGCGCGGGCAGGGAAGTCTGTGAGACTCTTATCTCCAATAAACCACTAGAAAACCAGAAGTGACATTGTGGCTCAAGCGGTAGAGCATTTGCCATGAGCTGAAGAACATAGGGACAGCGCCCAGAGTTCAAGCCCCACGACGGACAAAAAAAAAAAAAAAGAATTTTGTCAATATTGGAGCAATTTGTCTGTGTGCTCTGTTAATATACTCTTGAACAGCAGATCTACTATCCAGTTCATCAGGTTTTCATCAACAAATTATAGAACTCATGTGCCATGGTGCCAGGCCTTGTCCAGCCCAGCATGGCCCATCTTTTCCACCCTGACCATAGAGCTAGAGTCAAGGTGACTGGAGTTGTTACCACCCTAAGGGAGAAATAATTTTTGTCATTATTTTCCAACATATATGTTATTCAACTCTATAGAACTTCAAAGATAATATAACTCTTTTTATTTGTGTTTCAGGAAAATATTTACTTGACAGAGCATATTTCCAAAATAAGCCTGAAATTGATGCTAAGATTTTAGAAAGAATTTCAATGGAACTACAAAAGAAAAAGGAAGATGAAGCAGCAATAAGGTAAAGTCTGCCAAAAATGGTACCTCTTAATTATCTTCTCACAATTTATACTTAGGAATATCTTTAATAACAAAAGATTGTCTATCACCTAGATCTACTTCTAATAAATTTCATGAATACATCTAGACTTTTTAAAGTACACATTGTGAATGCTTTCCTATAATCCATACCAAATCATTTTGGAGGGTTGGTGGTACATGGGCTTGAACTCAGGACCTCATTCTCACTTGTGTTCTACCACTTGAGTCATGCCTCCAGCCCCAAATGTACTCTGTGTGTGTGTGTGTGTGTGTGTGTGTGTGTGTGTGTTATGTGTATGTTCATACTGGGTCTTGAACTCAAGGCCTGTGCTCTTTGCTTGGATTTAGCATCAAGGCTGATACTCTACCACTTGAGCTACACTTACATTTCTGGCTTTTTGCTGATTTATTAGAGATAAGAGCTCATGGACTTTCTTTTTTTGCCACTTGTGGAGCTTGAACTCAAGACCTGGGCAATATCCCTAAGCTTCTTTTGCTCAAGACTAGCACTCTACCAATTGAGCCATCGTGCCACTTCTGGCTTTTTCTGTTTATATGGTACTGAGGAATCAAACCCAGGGCTTCATGCCTGGTATGCAAGTATTCTACCACTAAGCCTCATTCCCAGTCAGAGCACATGGACTTTTTTGCCTGGGTTGGCTTTGAACCATGATCTTCAGATTTCAACCTAGTGAATAGCTAGGATTACAGATGTGATTCACCAGTGTTTGACAACCAAATGTATTCCATTTTTGTGTATGTCACTACTGGGACTTGAACTCAGGGCCTAGGTGCTGTTGCTTAGCTTTTTTTTGATCCACTTGAGCTCCATAGCTCCAATGTCATTATGTAACAGTGTTTTATCTATGACTTACTTTTGGTAAGTAGTATCCACAAAGTAAAATCACAAACCTGACTAAATAAGGAAAGAACAACACTGGTTATTTACATGTGGTGGGTTTAACCTATAGGGTTTATTTTCCAATGTGAGTATAATGAAGAGCTTTAAAAATCTAAATATTCCTGGCTAGGATTAAGATTATACTTCAGGGCTGGGAATGTGGCTCAGTGGTAGAGCGCTTGCCTTGCATGCCTGAGGCCCCAGGTTCGACTCCTCAGCACCACATAAGCAGGAAAAAAAAAAGCCAGAAGTGGCGTTGTGGCTCAAGTGGTAGAGCACTCGCCTTGAGCTGAAGAGCTGAGGGACAGCGCCCAGGCCCAGAGTTCAGGCCCCACGACTGGACCCCTCCCCCCCCAAAAAAGATTATACTTCAATAAATGATGACTTTCTTCAGGTTGAGGAATAAAGTATTTTTAAAAAATAGTGATTTAATTTTCTAATGCTTCTATATTGTTGAATTCTTCTATATTGAATTTTTCTGTATTGATGAAATTGGTATTTCTACTCCTCCAAAAATGAAGATCTAGAAATTTAAATACTACACTTTTCTGTGTAAACCCACTAAATTGCTTACTACTTATTGATGATGGCACATATAGAAATTTATTCAAATGCTGTTTCTTCCTCCTTCCTCAGAATTAAATTTTTGATCTGAGATTTAGGAGTCTAAATTATGAAGCTGGGAGGTAGATAATTGTAGAAGTGGGTTAACTGATATGTGAATGCCAGGGGTCTTCTTTTTAGTGTTTGTTAGTCGTATCAGTCATTCCTTTAGAAACATAACACAAGGGCTGGGAAGGTGGCTCAGTGTTAGTGCACTCGCCTTGCATGCTTGAGGCCCTGGGTTCGATTCCTCAGCACCACATAAGCAGAAAAAAAAAAGCTGGAGGTGGCACTGTGGCTCAAGTGGTAGAGTGCTAGCCTTGAGCTGAAGAACTGAGGGACAGCGCCCAGGCCCAGAGTTCAGGCCCCACGACCAGATGCCCCCCCCACAAAAAATGAAAAAGAAACATAACACAAAATGTCATGAAGTTTTATTTAGTTGAACTGGAAAATAAAATTATTATTTGATATATCAACTAGAAAACATTACTAATTTAGAATATAATCACAAATATATTCCATTTACTTTTAGCTTTGAAAACTTTTGTTACAAATGGAACAATAATCTGCTAATATTTAAAGAGCTACTTACTTTTTATGAGAACTAGTCATGTATTTGAGAACTAATGAAATGTTAATTTAAGAATAAGACAAAATTTATGTAATTTCTCAACTGAAGGTCATTAAAACTCAAGTTATGCTTAGCTGGCCTGGGCAAGGATCCTTCTACTTGCATTTCCCCTAAAAATCACTGGGGATTACAGGCACACACCACCAAGGCCCGCCATTGTGCCTCTCCTGTAGTTGGGATTACAGGTGTGAACCACCTTGCCCAGTCATTAGTTAAGAAGGAGTCTAGTGGCGGCAGCGGTGGCGGCTCCTCCTCCTCCTCCTCCTCCTCCTCCTCCTCCTCC